AAAGCATAGTGATTAATCACAAAAACAATATGTAATTATATATGTTTTCCGATGGTCTTAGGTGACCCCTGTGAAAGGGTCGTTCGACCCCAAAGGGGTCGCGACCCACAGGTTGAGAACCGCTGCCTTAGACGAATTCCTTCCAAGGCTACGAAGCCTCCCTTCTCAGATGTCCTGTCGACTGTGGCCTGCCTTGGTTCCTCTGGTCCTGGCTGGCATGGCCACCACCCATTCCTACGTCCCGCGGCCTGCCCTCAAGGAGATACCAGCGCTGCTCAACGTGAGGACGGGACTTCACACAAGACCTGTTCGCCAGGGCCTGTAGGCAGCTGTCAGCATGTGAGCTGCGGGGGCGTTGAGCAGTCACCTCCTCCCAACACACCCATTAAAGAAAACACACCAAGTCACTTGGGAATGAGATTCACCAAAATTCAGTTTTCAAATGTTTTCAGAACAACGTGAGGACGGGACTTCACACAAGACCTGCTCGCCAGGGCCTGTAGGCAGCTGTCAGCATGTGAGCTGCGGGGGCGTTGAGCAGTCACCTCCTCCAAACGCACCCATTAAAGAAAACACACCAAGTCACTTGGAATGAAATTCACCAAAATTCAGTTTTCAAATGTTTTCAGAGAATAGGGTCTCTCTATGACTTGGCAGAATGCAAAGAAAAGAATGTGTTAGAATCACACAAACCTGGATTAGAATCTCAGCCTTTAACAGCTCAAACTGAGCAATTACTTTCACCTCCCCTAGCCTCAGTTTCCTCATCTGTAAAATGGGGATAAAACAGTATCTATTTCATAGGCTGGCCAGGAGGATGAAAGTCCCCAAAATGGTGAGGCAGCTGTCAGCCTGCTGTTACAGCAGCAGCACCGCCCTTTGAGGGAAAAGCCCACAAGTGCCCAGGGGGCCCTCAGTCTTCTCATGGGGTTGATGGATGCAAAAAGCTGGCACTGTTAGAACTGGTTGCTTCAGAGGGAAGAATGTCTGCTGGCTGGAGCAGAGCTGAGATCACAGAGCATGTTCAATAGTGCACGCAACTGCGCTCACAGCACAATGCCAACCGGGAGCAAACAGCTGCCCTGCAGATGGCTGAACAGCTGGGCCAACACGCTACTCGAGGCTGCTCCCTGGCCCGGACGTAAGCATTCTGCAACCTTATTTTCTAGCTTTCCCGGATGCGATTACAATGACGTGCAGATCCAAGGAACTCTCAGGCCAATTCCACGCTGCCGCACGTCTTGGCCTCAGATGCCTCCCTGCGCCCTGCACCTCGCTGGGCTAATTCTGTGTCCTCCCTGTAAGCCCAGGTCAGGGGTCCTCCTCAGTGGGATCCGCCCTCTCTGAAGCACCTTCCTGGGCACTGGCTCTGCTTCCTGCTCCCTGCTTCCTCCTCCTCCCCCGCACCATGTACTGCTCTGGTCCTGGTGGGTGGGTCCACCTTCTAGTCCTGCCTGGGAGCAGGGCCTGTCCAGGGTACCTCTCAATGCTGCACCTGGCAGGGGGCTGGCATCCCGCAGAGGCATTCTTGAAACCAGTGAGGGCTGCACGTCTGTGTGCCGAGCTCTGAGCGTGGTAGAAGGAGGCCTTTGGGATAAGTCCTAAGTCGCAGCCTCAAGCTGTTCCTTTCACAGGCTGCCTCCAGAGGCAGGTCCACGCGAGGAACTGCGCTAAGTGTGAGGGGCTCAGGAGAGGGCTTAGGGCAGGGGCTGCCGTGTGTCCAGGGGGAAAGGGAACCTAACATTCCCACCACAGGACAGGTGTGAGGACAAGACTCAGAGACTGTCACCGTGGGGCAGGGAGGATGCCTATGGGGGGCCCTTGGGACAGACCTGGGGTGGGAGGGTAAACGTTCTGGAAGGCTGAGGGGAAGAGTTGAGGTGCTCCCCATTCTCAGACCCTTTGCTCCTTCCCCAGACACTCGGGGCGGGGCCCACAGGACGCTGGTCGGGGTTGTGTCACAGCAGCCTGGGGTCCTAGGGGGCCTGCCCAGGCCTCTGGCACTGGGGTTTCCCTGTGGAGCCCACTGACCACAGCTGAGGCCCGTGAGACAAGCTGTGGTTACACGGGGAGTTAAAGCGCCATGTTCGGGCCCAGGGCAGCCTGGGTGTCTGTGAGCTGACCCCACTCCATGGCCAGGTGAGCCTCTCCCAAGGAGGAGGCTGGATTGGGTGGTGCCTGCGCAGCATGCGCCACAGTGGGGCCTCCCTGGGGGGTTGGAGCCCAGTCCAGCTGCAGAAGGTGGGCTCGAAGGTGGTAAGTGGGGCCTATTTCCCCGCAGAGAGCAGCTGGGACTTCTGTCTCCACTCTCAGATCCCACGTGGAAGAGGCAGACCTGCCAATCAGGTACGCAGTGAGAAGTTTGACAAAGGCTCCAGCAGAGGAACAAACTCCCTAAGTGTCTGTAAGTATGAGGAAAGGCTTCTCAGGGAAGGTGAAATTTGGGCTGGGTTCTGCAGGATGAGTAGGAGTTTATGAGGAAGCAGCATGTCCAAAAACAGGATGGAATATGAGGATGTGTGTGTGTGAAGCTTATGCCTGGGGGTGGAGCACAGCCCACAGGGCGCTTTGGGCTGGATCTGTATTGGATCCACGTCCCCGCTTCTGCTGGGGGAGGGGGTGGGTGGCATGCGACCGAGACCATCCCTTGTCCCCAGGCACCTGGGACAGCAGCTTGGGCTGAGCCCTTCGAGAAGGCAGTGCTCTCTGTCCACAGGGTTAAGCGAGCAGGATGTCGGTGTGGAGCTGCTGGGGACCGTGAGGGGAGAGTCCAAGACTGAGGATGATACAAGGGACATCGGTGTGGAGAGATGGAGGACCAGCGTGTTGAACTGAACCCTGGGTATGGCTCCAGCTTCACCAGAAGCTAGTACCTTGGCCTTTTCAGTATCTGAGCCAATACTTTTGTTTGTTTAAAGCAGTTTAAGCTGACTTTTTCTGTCTTAGGCAACCGCCAAGGCCTTTCAAGGCAACCTTGGCCAATACGCCTCCCCTCCCCAGAGCGATCCTAAGAGGCAGACAGTTCCTCGGCCTGTCCGCTCTGCCACCTGCAGGATGTCCTGCCCACAGCTGCTGAGGGAGCCACGCTGGCGTCCCTGTGTGGCCATGAGGCACAGCAGGGGGCTCTGGGTAAGTGAAACAGTCACCACCTCCCGGCTCTGTGCGCACGCGCTGGTGACGGGCAGCAGCACTGCAGCAGGGCCCCGCCTCGCCAGGAGGAGGAAGAATGGACAATGCAAGTGGAGGCCTCGCTGGCCGGTGGCTGTTCTAGCCGAACTGGACGCTGCCCTGGGGAAGCTGCCTCGGGAAGCGGCTGCAGGGAAGCTGCGGACATTCACTGCACAATGAGGGCATGCGGCACCCCCAACTGCAAGCAGGCTTCCTGTCTCCATTTCACAGAGGGGAACTGAGGCTCAGGACAGGAAGCAGACTGGACCCAGCGGCAGAGCTGGGATGGACGCTAGCCTTCCTGGCTGTGAAGTCGGGCTCGGTGCTGTGACGTCTCCAACGTCCACTGGGAGCCAAGCTTCTGCCTCAGCGTCTGCCTGGAGGAGCTCACCTTGGCATCACCTTGGCCCAGCGACGCGGATCTGAGGCCCCTAACCAGCAGAGCCGTGAGAGGCCACCTCAGCCGGTTCCCATGCTGACCCCGGGGTGGTGCAGGCTTAGGGGAGCCCCACAACCGTGGGAAAAGCTTGGCCTCTCTGGATTCTGCCACTGAGTGTGGGCCTGGGTGGGGCCAGCTGCGAGCCTGTGCCTGTGCCTGCAGCAGGACGGGCAGTGGGCCTGCCCGAGGGTCGCAGTGAGATGGGCTGAACTCAGCGCGGAAAGTGCCGTGTGGCCCTGGGTGCTCGGTAGGCGCTCAGCCAGTCTCGCCACCCCCTTCCTTAGGTTCAAGGTGAGTAAACGCAAGTGCAGAGGGTGGAGGAGTGGGCCCGGCCCACATCTTCCCACATCACGTCCCAGGCCCCTTCCCCATGTGCTGGCTCGAGATTTTTGCCAGGAGATGAAAGGAGAGGCAAGGTGATGAGGAGCCTTCCCGGCCACCGTACTCTCAGGGCCACCCTGGCTGGGCCGAGGGAGCATCCCTAGTCCCAGGGAGACAGGCGTCCCAGGTCCCTGGAGCTGGCCGATGGGGACGGGGACGCGCTGCTAGAGGACGCGTGGCCTCCTCAGGGCTGAGAGTAAGAGTCAGAGTAAGATTGCTTGGTGGGTGGAGGAAGGAGGGTGTCTGACCATAGCACAGCCAGAACCAAGGCCCAGGGCAGGAACCAACGTGCTCCT